CTAAAATATAAAGCAACAACACACAGCAACGTGTTCATGGAGGCAGCCATGTTTGTTCCGAGATGTGGGTAGCTCGAACGGGAGATTGTCGGACGTGATGTCACTCGTCTCGGAATTTCCGAGTTCCGAGAGAAAAACGAACGCACCATTAGTCCACCAGCAATATCTCATTAATGATGCTGGTCCACCAGTACTAAAACATAACATTTGCTGGTATAACTAGCATGCATTGTACTGGTCTATGCTGTTTTTTTCAGCAGGGACATGTAAATATTACATATTAAGGGAATTACATTAAGACATGGCACTTCATACTGTTATGCAAATGTATTTGTTGTAATTTGACAATATAGAGATTTTAACATAATTTTTCACCGCTCCATACCTCGTTACGAGTGCTTTGGGACAGTAAGATTAACGTTTTTTTCCCCCGTAAATCATTATGTAACTTCTTTGCCATTAGGTTGATCATTTAAATACTTAATATATTATACCTATTTATTTGGCTTATTCCCCTCCACCCCCCTAGCCGAATGAAAAATAAAACCGGCACGGAGCGGCTTTTGTCTGCCGCATAATTACCGTGCTCGTTTGCATATTAAGTGGAATAAATGAGACATTGCGGTGCTTCTTTGCGCAAAGACTGATAGTCGCAGCTGCCGATCCCTTACGCAGTCACAGAGTCGTTCATCTCCCGCGTCCGTGACCCGTTTCTGCTAACGCAAGTGAAAAGAAACATTTTCTGTCACTTAAGCATGCACGGTAGGTAGTTATATTCATGCTAAATACACATGTTTAAAAACAAAAGTTTACTTATCCCTATTAACTAGATTTCTTGGCACCATCATCACTTCACCCGCAGCTCAGATGGCTTCCAATTACAGCTCATTGAGTCTTAAAAAATTAACCACTCTGCAATCCCAGCATGCTTTGCAGGTTTTTTCACTTAGCCTGACCAGGATGAGTTTTGCGAAGCCTTCTTAACGCTACATTGTATGTTAAAAGATAGAACTTATGAGAGACGTAGCGTTAATAAGGCTTTAGGAAACCTACCCCTGATCAGGAACTGTTATACCTGTGCAATTCTTTTGCTGTCCCTTCATACATTTCCTCCACCCAGATAAGGCACTGCTTAAAATGGCATCTCTCCACACTATTCTTAATTAACAGACTCTGTTAATAGAAATGTTTTTATTTTTTTCAGGTAAGCTTAGTCAGTCGCTACAATTTTGTGTTACAGGGGAAGCACACGGTCTTAGGGGGTCTCTCTTTGCACACAATAGGCCTAAGCGATTCTGCTTCACCTAGCTAACTAAGCCATTAACAATTTGAAATAATTATTCATTAAAAAAAACAAATAAATTAAATACGAGACTGGCATCCTCTCTTTTTAGACTGTTGTGGGTTGGCCCTCGGCCCTTTGCGACTGAAAAATGGAAGCAATTAATTTTGATTAAGATCAAATTTGGTGTCCCAGAGATGATGTAACGATGGGACTTGGTGGCGTGACACCTCCTAATAAGCGGGACTGAATGCTTTTCTGATTAATGGGAGCAGGAGGTGATACAGCCTTTGTTCTTTTGACGGCCATTTTGTCCTCTGATATTGGGCGCCTGTTATTCATTACCATCTCTCATGTTTACGTGTTTACCCTCGAGAAGGTACTGAGCCCATATCTCGGTCAAACCGCGCACTTTCCGATAGAGACGTCAACAAACAGAGAGGCTTATAATCCTATTCACTAGCGCTCGATGGCCCCGGCGATCACGGCCACATCAAAACGGGCTCTGTCTAGATTTCCTGTAAGCCGGATTATGTTTTCTAAAAAATAAATAAATAAAAAAATAAAAAAATAGGGGACTTTGACAGTCACAGAATGTTGTGGGGTGATACTGGGAGGTTTTGTAGGCGTGTTTGGAGAGTTCGGGATGTTTATTTCTGTTTAAGTGCAGAGAAGGTTTTGGGGATTTATATGCCAGGGTCCCGCAAGTTGCGTAAACATGACAAATCGATGCAGACTGGACCCATTCTCAGCGACATTGTTTCTCAGCAGTCTCATCTAGTTTTAGCGGTGGGATTATCCGTGTCTGCTTTCTCGAGCTGGAGTTTGTCACTCCGGGAAGTTTTGACATCATCAGCCACGGTTTACAATTAACGGAAACTAGTTTCTGATGCCGCTCTGTAATGTCTGAGCCACACTGCGATAAGCAAAGGTAAAACTTATTAATGGCATTTAAGCTAATACCAGGGAAACCACAGGTCACTTACAAGCAAGAGAGATTGTAAAATTATCCCTGCACAACATCTGATTCATAAGGCTACCTTGTATAAAATTTAATAGGAATCAGTATTTTTATGTACACTATATCATTTTATTTATACATTTTGTTTTTTTTCTGAGGCTGATAGTGGCAAACTAAAATACTCTTGGGCATTTAATCGAGCTGGATGGAAGCTGGAGCAGGGGGATCCTTTCATGATTTTTCATGGACATCAGCTGCATTGGGATAAACTTTCTCATTAACTTCGACATGAGCCGAGTGGTCGCATCTGCGGGGGGAATGGGGGATGAGTTGGCTTTAAATGTAAATGATGGGCTCTGACATTTATACAGATTTGCTGGGCAAAAAAAAAAAAAAAAAAAAAAAAAACACGGGGAAATAAATAAATAGAGAGAAACAAACAAGCGGCCGCAATCTTGTTCTCCTTCGCCGGATGCGAGCCTGGATGAGCAATTATGGCTCGATGTGGCAGCTACTGTGGAGGAGATAAATAATAATTTTCAAAAAAATCGCTGCGGATTTACCGCGTGACGGTTTCGGGACGTTTGGACTGGCGCCAATTTAGGAAGCAGGTCTCATTGAATCACATTCGCTCGTTTGATATTAATATGCGGCATTAACTAAACCCAGACCCAAAAACCCAAAAGAACTTAACTGGAAATAAGGAAAAACACGCAAAAGGTCATTGTACAGGATGGATTCCTTAAATACATGTTTCTATTTAATATTATATAGCAGGGAGGACTGTCATTAACTCATCACATTAGGCCGAGTCCATTATCCCGGTGCAGCAGCAGCACCTGCTGGGATATACCAAGGGAGAAGGCGGGGGGGAACTAACCAGCTGGTTGGGGTCTCTCATGCCCGCTGCTTGTCACACTAATGGCCTGCCGGAAAGTTGGCCCTCACTCCCAGAGGGGGGGGGGGGGGATGGTGGGGTGGGGGCTGGGAGGTACAATAATCCGTCGCGCTGGAGGGCATGTAAATAATCGCAGGGAGGAGGGTTAAAGATGGACGACCTTTTATTCTGGCCCACGTGTGCTAATGTGCCTTTGCATCAGCGCCCGCTGTTACAGGAATACCCCCCACCCTGAACAAACATTAAATAGATGCTCTGCTAATGTATTCTTCTCCACACCTCGTTTTCTGCCTCTTCATCTTCATTTCTTCTTTGCTGCTCTGTCTCTTTCTTTCATACAACGCATGTCCTTCTACACACTTTCGCACTTTGCACAAATCTGCCTCCTCTTTCTTCCTGCCAGCCTGAACGTGTGACCAGCAAATACGGCATCACAAAGTCCAAAAAACAGTGACTGTGACCAAAAATCTGCCATCTGAAACCCTATAAAAGGGTATTAAATAGTGGGCTGTTTACTCCATATTTTAGGTAAATTATGTAACTGAACATGTATAGCAAGGATTACAAGTGATATACATACATTGTTCTGCATTCAGGCATGTGACAAACGGCTAAATGCGCTTCATGTCGTTCTCTAGAGACTGGAGACAAAAACTGCAAACAAACAGAGCTGAAGTGATTAGCATCAAGGCTGGACACGATCTAGCGATCGCCGCCGTTTTTGCCAACGAGCAAAGCGCATATATCTGTGACCCATTAATAGCATCTGGGATGGGAAAGGCCTGATATCAGCAAAAACTGTTAAAAGGAGCAACATAAGCACAGCGCTTAGATCTAATGTTACACTGGGTCTACTGAATTTCATGCAATTTCCACGGAGAAGGTTTCCATTTTATTTATTTAGGAGATGCTTTTATCCACAGTAATGTACATTTTTGGGAAAGAAGGGGCAGATAGTCCCTGGTTCAATTGCAGGTTACAGGCCCCGCTCAGGGGCCCAATGATAAAATCACTCTGCTGACCCTTGGATTTGAACCGACCTTGCAATCATAGGCACAGCGATTCTTATGATAATTTTTTGGTCTCCTCAGGTGGTGGACACAGTGCTTATATCTAAAATTACCCTGGTTGTACTGAACTTCACATAATTTCCACAGAGAATATCTCATTCGGGAAGTGGGCAGGGTCAGGATAAAAATACTCTGGTCCTTAGCAGCATGAGACAAGAGTATTAATATACTGTTTATAACTCACTGAGAGTCGGCATCAGATCGACACAAATCAGTATGGATATTGGTCACCCTCCATCACTCTTACATTCTAATGTTTCTTCTTGGTAGTGCCCATGACACGCAACTTCTGAGAACGTCTTCGCCACTGAGTGACATCGACCGGCTCACTCGCAATTTTAACAACTTGCATGGGCTGGGGTAGGCAGTAGGTGGAGATTGGCATCAGACATGGCAGGATCAGACAAGCCGCCTGTCGAGTCAGCTCAATGCGTGTGGCTAACCAAGAGAAGAGGTTCTTCTGACCGAATTGCTTTGCGATCAAGAGAAGAACAGCACGACATGCC